CTGATGCTGATGATGCTGGGGAGGCTGGTGATGCTTGTGATGCTGATGATGCTGGTGACGCTGGTGACGCTGCTACGGTTGCTGCTGCTGCTGCTGCTGCTGCTGCTGCTGCTGCTGCTGCTGCTGCTGCTGGCGGCGGTGGTGGTGGTGGTGGTGGTGGTGGTGGTGTTTGTGTTTGTGTTTGTGTTGGTGTTGGTGTTGGTGTTGGTGTTTGTGTTTGTGTTTGTGTTGGTGGTGGTGGCGGTGGTGGTGGCGGTGGCGGTGTGGCGGTCGATGGTCGTACTGTCGGCAGAGGTCGTGGTGCTGGTGGTGGTGGTGGTGGTGGTTGTGGCGGTCGGTAGTCGTACTGGCGGTATTGTGTTGGTGGTGGCAGTGATGACGGCGGTGGTGCTACTCTGCTGCTGACGTCGCTGCTGCTCGTCCTCCTCTTCGTTGCCATCCCCCCTAGCTGTGTCAGCTGCTGTGTTGATTTCATCATCACCGTCATCTTCACCATCATCGTAGTATTATGATCTTTGACTATGATTATTGCGATTCTTGCTATTAATTGTTATTCTGCTTCTTCTTCATCGTCGTCATCATCATCGTCACCATTTCAGGCAGCAGGTTGCGGCATGATGCTGCCATTTTGCTGCTTGGATCGCTGCTTCTCCTTCTAAGATCGATCGGGACCTGGCCTCTCGGGGCTCTTCCTTGCTGGCCGCCCGGCCTTGAATAAACGTGACACCAGCCAACAGCAACAGTGATGCAGATATTCATCCTCCTTCTCGTGAGCGCGGTAGACAGCAATGACGACAAACATAACAGCAGCATGTTCGGGAAGCGGTCACGTCGGCCCGAACAACAAGTCAAGACTTAGGCAACATGCCGAGAACTTCGCATGGTGGGAAAGCTTGTCAAAGTACAAGGTCGGGCAAAGGAAGTGACAAGTTTGAATGGATCCAGTGCAACTTCTTTAACTAGGAGGTGCTGCCTAGCTTGCCGACCAAGCTATTGTCAACGCCCTGCATATCTGCGATGCTAATCGGCCCGAGCTTGAAGACAATCTCAGTCACTAATCTCAGTTTTCAAGCAAAAGCGGACAGAAATGTGCTTACAGGAAGCCTTGTACAACCCCGAGGCCAAGATGCTGGAAGGAGCATGCTGAGATTGCCGGATCCTTTGAGAAGTTCCAAATCACACTTCTAAGGAGCTTGGGCTTTTGGAAATGTCTGGAGAGGGCCCTACTCGACACAGCCACCGGACTGTCTATGCGTCTTTTCCTAATTAACTTCATTGGAACTCTTGGCAGGGCAGCAGCATAGCTTCGCCGCGGAATCTTCTCTTTTGGAGTGGAGGCCTCTCAGGAAATGGGCAGCTTATCCAGGGTGCACTGCCACATGTGCAGTGCACGCGCACGCCTATGGCTGTGAGAAGGTGGGCCTTGAGAAGTTAAACGAGGTTGCAGCCGCTTCCTGCGCAGCATTCAATCTACTACGTTAATGATCATAGGACTCTCGAGAGACCGCTGGTCATCTTCGAACGATGTCACAGTAACCTGTCAAGAAAGAGCTGTGTAAGCTTCGTCTGTATCTGGCCGTTACAATGAAGCCTTGGGGCTATGCTAAAAAGTTCGGTAGACCAGCACGGTCGTCCTCGTCGACCATCAAAACCACCGAGAGCAAAGCGACTCCAATTGTTACATCATGTTGCAGGCTGGTGTTGTGGACACCTTTATGTCGGATCGTCTGGCAACGAAGGTAGGTCTCTCATTAAGGCGTCCAAGAGCTGCACAAGCGACGTCAGAGTAAGGCCAAGGCTGTCCGAGCTGGGCCAAGACGTCAGTCTGGCCAACACTTGTCTGTCCGCTTTGCAGTTTGGTCTGCAGGAGTCTTTGTGGGTTTTCGAGACACTTCCGGTTCAGTATGGTTATGAGAGCTGACAAGTGATGCTCACCTTCAGGAGAGACCCCATCAATGGCGTCGTCACTATGATGGGCATGTCCAGTTGCTTGACGGTTTCCATGGATCTGATGCTCGACTCGAGGATTCGGGGGGATACTCTGAAGCTTCAAACCTGTATTGGTGGGCTTATACTATTGTTTGTGCAAGCATGAAGCGAAGGATGATGCACGACCAACACGTCCGACGATGGATGCTATCATACGCTACTTTTGGGACGTGTGCCGCAGGTCCTGTATGGCTGACGATGGCACATGTCGCAAAGCTGAGATTCCCCTTTCCCGCCCCTGCTCGGCACCTTGGCTTCGGAGCTGCCTGCCTGGCTGGGGAGCACATGCGGCCACACATGTGGGAAAGGGCATCTGGAACATCCTGTAGTAGCGGGTTCGGCTGCATCGAGCTTTGACAAAACAAAAGCATCACCAAGGACTCGCCTGCGTCTGGTTGGGCATGCCTGCAACTGTCAGGTGCACATTGAAGAAGGGCTACGGGAAAGCGGTTCTACATAAAGGCAAGTCGCGGGTTCGTCTGCAAGGGGCAGAGGCGAATTCACCCCTCTGTGAAGGCGGTCGCCAATGCTTCGACCGGACAATACCGTGCTCGTTACGGTATAAAGACCCATTCTTTCGGCAAAAGCAAAGATCGAGTGACGAGGTGGGGCCTGCCGTGCATCCAACCGCAAATCGGCCAATTTTGCACGCAACCCTTTGATGAACTTCAGGATCTTTCCTCGTCCAACTACTGTAGCCCTCCGGACTCCGAACAGAAAAGGGTGCCAGATCTAATTACACAAAAAGGAAAAAACAAGGGAAGTTGAATCTTCAACACTCATTATCCTCCGAAACCTCCTGCCCATGCCTGGGTGGAGCGGGGTCTCGGAGCAGCTGGGAACTGAGCAGGCGGCTTAGAGAGGAAATGGAGCGAATCATCATATGCATCATGTATCATTCCAGCCAGCTCTCTCATGAAGACGGGGAGAAGAAACCTGAAACTCTGCCTCCAACAGGCCCAGGCTCCTTTCGGCAACATCTTGCAGTATAGAACAGAACAGTCTGGAATACGATGAGCTTGGAGACCTCGGAACAAAACCTCGAGCTCTGCCCCCCAAGTAGCCTGGAGCCCAGCTAAGCGGAGCCCAGCTTGGGACTCTGGCCTGAGCCTCCCGAGACGTCGCGCTGGAAGTTGGAGCTCTCAGAGTCCCGGCGCCTGCAATGCGGGTAGGGTCTAGGGTTTAGGGTTTAGGGTTTAGGGTTTAGGGTTTAGGGTTTAGTGCAACAGACATTCACGCCTTTCAACCACAGGACTTGGAAGACAAGACACGCAGTCGCAGACTGTCACAAAAGCGGCGGGCCTCGGAATCCTGCCAATATCTTCAAGCAATCACACTCCTGTTAACCAGTCTCCCCAGAGACGCGGACATCATCTTGCAAGCCCCGCGTGCACAAGAAGTCTAAGTAGTTGGTCCAGCAACCTTCGAAATCACAATAATTCGAACTAAGTCTAAGCAATCTTCACTCTACGAGTACTGGAAGATCGTCATTGAAGCCATGTCTCCGTTCTATCGCCATCTGCATCGCACAGCTTTTCCCGAAGTGCACCAAATCAGGGCCCGAACCCGACATGCAAACCCAGTCATCTCGAGATAAACCCAAAGCACCACAAGGCAGAGGCGCCTCCTGGATCGACTCGCCAGGGGCTCACTGGATTGCCCCGACTTCTCCGGGGAAGGCACCTGACTTCCGAAGCGGCCAGGGGTCTTATGACTTCTGTGCTTTGTTGAGCTTCCAAGAGGTTCCAAGAATCATCCAGGCTCGATGGGCAAACGCTGGGATTTGTCTTCACAGAGCCACCGAAGCTGCTTCGGCTTCGGTCGGAGATCTGCTCTGACACTCACGTGAGAATACTATAACAGACCTTGATATCGTACTTGCATTCAATGCTATTCAACGGAGCTTCTGGAAGGAGCTCAAAGCGTCCAACAATCAGCTCTGACTCTAGATGCTGACCAAACACCATCTGGATTTATACATATATATATATATACATCGCTGTCTCTCTATCTGTATTCTGTATAGCTATACATACACATATATACCCTCTCTCTGTCTCGATGTCTGTCTGTCTGTCTGTCTGTCTGTCTGTCTGTCTGTCTGTCTGTCCATCCATCCATCCATCCATCCATCCATCCATCCATCCATGAAATGCATACATGCCTGCAGCATGCCCAAGTATGCATATCATATCATGCCTGCGCATCTTCGCTGCCAGCCCGCGGTCGGCGGTGCTCTGAGCTATGTGGAATCCTGGCATCCAGAGATCCCAGAACACATTGCACAAAGCTTCGAGACTTGAGAGATCACCAAGTCTTGGGGGGGGCCTGCCGCTTGTCGGTACAGGCGCCCCCGGCGAGGTCGAACGCTCGGCGCTGCCTTGCCTGCCCAAGACACCACCACAAAGCCCGAGCTTTCCACAGCATAACTAAATATTCGTACAGCTGTGGAACAATACTGGTTGAAATCCCGAAGCTCTTGTGTCTCATGTCCGACAGCCCTGCCGCAGAATGTCCCGGCCTGGACGTGTCAGCTTCTGCCTGTCGCTCAGGATCCCAGACTAGGTCAGCTGCGTGTCTGATAGCACACGTGACTATAAGACCAAGTCTTGAAGTTTCGGGATCGACATTGGCACGTTCAATTCGAAGACTTAACATCATGAGGCATCGTCTGCGAACCATGCATCTGCTTCATCGCTTGTAAGCATGTCGCTGCCACGACGTTGTAAAATCTGTGCTTATGGCTAGGCGTTCGTACATGTAGACATACATACTTACATATACACAGATGTATAACACATACATACATACATACATGCATGCATGCATGCATGCATGCATGCATGCATGCATACATACATACATACATACATACATACATATACAGAAATATAAATACATAGATAGTTAGATACATAGCTAGCTAGGTAGCTCGCTAGCTAGGTAGGTAGGAGTAGGTAGGAGTGGGTAGGGTAGGGTAGGGTAGGAGGTAGGTAGGTGGGTGGGTAGGTAGGTAGGTAGGTAGGTAGGTAGGCAGGCAGGCAGGCAGGTAGGTGGATAGATACGAAGTAGAATAGAATTAATGTACATGAACGTATGCACAAATTTACAAGTATGTATACACGCATGGGCACAGACATTGCGAAGCGTCACATGATGCCCAATATTAACGGTCCGAGTCTTGCTGAGTTCAACCGGATGGTCGGCCCATTTTTCGCCTCGTAAGCTGGGGGCTGTTCCAAGTTACAAGCAACCCACCCGACCCAATCCTTAAAGAAGAGTGTGTGCAACGCTTGCTTGCCGCATCTTGCCACGATCGGTGGACGTGTTTCTTCCGCCTGCTCTTGCGTAGGAGCTTACGTAGTGTGGCCGTTTAAGTTTTGTAAGTTTCCGTCGACACATAGGCTTATGGCTTAAGCCTATGGCTTGTGATCTACAGGGTGGGGCCGAGGTGTGTGAGATTCAACTTGTTGTGGGGAATCAGAACATTCCCACTGCATGGATTTTGTGTTAGGGGCATGTTCTTACGATCTAACCCCGATTTCGAGTTAATCCCGAACCCCAGTTGGCGTTGAGGTTGAGGTGCAGGTGACAATTACGCCTGAGAGCTATTTCGGGTCTGCGTGTGCGCACTTGTGTGCCTGCAAAATACCTTTACATACCTTATACAGTACCATATGCATGTAAGTATGTACATGTACATATATACATATATGTGCGCAGAAGCTCTGACTGCCAGAGATTGCCTGAGTTTGAATGTTCTGGGACCCCGGTGCTAATCTGCTGCCGCCAGCCTCTGGCATTCGGCCGGGAAGGCTGCTGTCAAACCTGAAAACAAATTCGGTTTGGGTTGGGGCTTGCGGCGCCCAATCGAGGACTCTTGCATCTTGACATGGAGCAGTGGCGGCGCTTGAAACCGCGATGCTGACATCAGCAAGAATAAGCTGTCATGCCATTCAATATTCGAGCAACAGGAACTCAAAGGGTCCTAAATTTTGTGTTGCCGGCCAACCTCCGGAGTTTCGAGTTGACGACGTGACAAGCTATAAACTCCCGTTCCGGGATCCGGGATTGCTTCACGTGTCACGCCCTGTCACAGCAATCGCGAAAAGGCCAACAAAAAAAGCTGAGGAGTGTGTTCCGCCTCGAAACACGAAGAGGCCGAACAAAAAGAGAGCCTTGGCCTGTCCAACAAACCTAAATCTCGGGCCCAACATCTCCAAACCCAATCCTGACACCGTCGTTCCAGCAATGCAGCCATGCAAACAGGGTCGAACAGGCGTCTGACAAGCCGACTTGAGCTTGCCACACTACATATGTACAGATAGTTCAGCAAAAGAGCGAAATTGTAAGGTGCAGTAGATACCAATCAGAGTTCTCGAATCCAACACTACATACTTTTCGATATAGCAATCTAAGCGGGCGGCCTTCTGCCATCGGTGGTCCCCCCCCCCCCCCCCCCCCCCNNGGGCCCCCCCCCCCCCCCGCGCCCCTAAGAGTGTCGTGACTGTTCTCGGGTGCCAATCGCTAGAGCCGCTGTGTGGTGCTTTGGCGGTCTTGGTCATGTAATGGTGCTTGCGTTTGCGGGCTTGGACAACGATAAGACTCGTTGCCTGTTCGGGATAAGAACAACAGCTACGAAAATAGTCATAGTAATCATCGCAAGAACAGCAATGGAGTGTGTGGCCCAGAAGTATGACTGTGATGATAGTGATCTACAGGGCACTTACCACAGTACGACATCTTTTCAGTGCCAGGTCTAACCTGAGGCTCCGTCGTGGAGCTTTGGAACCTCGATGGCTCAACGGTCATCTTCACCTGCGCTTTCCCAGTCGGAACAGTTTAGGCCGTTTGGGCCTCGGAGCCTCGGAGGTCGAAGATCAGACACGATCAGTCTCTCTGGGCTCGTGTGTAGTGTAGCTCGCACTTCAGTTTCTGAACCTGTGAAAGCACGGCCGAAGGAAAACGTTCGACCCTGGAGGGCCCGAAACCCTGCAACGAGCAGCTAGCCTCATCTCGCTTGACGCTGCTCCAGGCGGGAGCTTCAGGTGGAGGAGCTTCTAACTGCGTGCAGGCGTGTGTTGTGAAAACTTACGATGCTTTGTTCAGGGGGCTTGGATGGCTTGGCAAGACTTGCCAGTAGAAGCCAGTTGTCTCTATCACCGGCCCAGACTGATCCGCTCAGTCCCTCACAGCGACGCATGATCCGATTGCAGGTTGGCCAAGTTTTATCTGATGTGGCCCTGGCCGCGGCCTTCTTCGCCGCCGCACGGGCCACCAAGTCCGCCTCGAGCCTAAGTCGCTGTATAGCCGCAACAGAGCGAGCAAAGCTTGCAGCATGCCTGCGAATGGTCTCCTCATGCTCTGCTCAGAACTGTGTGAGCCTTCGGCACCCTAAAACTCAGAACAAAAATTACAGTACAGTAGCATCCCAAGCGACAAGCTCCATTCTTCGCCGAGCCACATTACGGGTGGTGCCTGAGGAGCCGTTGGTGCCGCAGCGGGCACTTGAGCCTGAACCGGGGCTGGGCAAATCGGGGCTCGGGCGACGCGGGCGGAGCAAGCGTTGGTCCCTTTCGTCTTCCTTGCCGTCTACGCAGCCTGGAACCTATAGCCCCGGTCCGCGTGCATCTAAACTGTCAATGTGTAGAGGCATCAATATGTTCAGAAGTGCTGCTACGGTATTCCTGCTCTGACTCCAGTCGAGCTATAAGTCGATGTTGACCTTGTGTCAAAAACGCAGCACTCCGATTAGAAAAACACATCCTGTCTGGAACAAAGCCAGGACCCCGGGCTGGTGGCATCGCGTGGATTTCTGGTGGCGGCTGTCGACGCAAACCTCAGAGGCTGGCTCGCTCTGTCTCTGAACGCTGTGGTGTGGCGGATTTGCAAAGGCTTCGGACGAACTAGAGCTCGAATCGATCTGCCTGGGTCCAACGCATCCGAAGGTCAATTCGCATGAGATCTACTTTGAACTTGTCTGACAATCTTAGCAACCGCCCCTCATAACGATTATTTGCCTTCAGCTCAAGTTATCAGGATCCGGGACAGAGACTGTTGCCCCGCTGACGGTTGCGCTCAATGAAGGTCTTGCGCCACTTCTCCATGATCACAGAGACCTCTCAGGGCGTGAACGTGCTGCCGGTTTATCTAAGCCCTGAGAAATAGAATCGTGCAGGACCATCCCTTTCAAAATCTGAAGCGACCGTGGGCTGCCCTTTGCAGGGTCAACCTCGTCGTCCAACTTGTCCACTTGGTCGGGATCTGCTGTTGGTCCTTGAGTGGACACCTCGCCACATGACGGGGGCGAAGCGCAGTGCGAGAGTTCAGGCTTGAAGCTCTGACTTGGGATGGCTTGTGGATTTATCATGGCACTCTCTTCCACAGTGCAACAACGTCCAGGTACTCTTTTCTCGGCCTGCACTCATGTCGTCAGCAAACCCGTAATTCGGGTTCGTCACGACTAGAACAGGATGCCGCCTGCGAAATGTCCGTACTTCCTCTTCGCATATTTCCCATTGCCCTTCCGGACGTATCCTCGCGGTGCATTCAGTTTCGTATAGATACGGGGATCCGGCGCTTCCGGATCTTTGGGTGGTGGCTCCCAAGACCTCGACAGGAGAGATCAGTCCGGTGCACACAGGGAGCACTACTCCCAAGTTGCAGGCAAGAAGCGCGTAGCGCCTATGATCCAGGCTGAGCTTGTTGTTGTTCGGGTCTAAGCAGAAGTATCTTCGCAGCCACTCGCGTCCGATCCCGAAGTCGAAGAATGCCTTGGTGGGATCCACCCGCACCCTGAAGCGTCTGGCATCATCGGTTTTTCGATGCAATGCTAGAAACACAGCAAATAAATGCAAATAATGTGTCCGTTGAGTTTGCTAATATATATAGAGAGAGACCAGGCGAAAAGGACTTCACGCTTAAGAATTACCCATCATTTTGTGACCTCGATGCTTCACGTGGCACCTCAACCTACACAGAAACCCACGACACAACACAAATAAGGACGCACCGCACGTACAGACACAGACACAGACACAGCACACACTCAAGAACAGCATGATGCCTGCAGCCACCAAGTGCTTTCGACGTGAAGAAAAGATAGTGTTGCCTTTGAGGCCTTAAAGCTTCAGGTCCTTAACACCCGAGAATGGATCACTGCTGGCTTCCCGACCTCCACAGAGGTGTAATCTTCGTAGTGGATGCGCGCAGCTACGGCGATGGCCTCTCGGACCCCAGGTGGAAATTCTCCAGATGGCCAAGTCAAGATGATTCATAACGAGAAAAAGGATTCGCTCTAATGACACACAGAGAGGTGCCTCCCGAGTTTGCCGGGCCACACTCTTCTCCAGAAGGTCACCGTAAGACGTGATATCAAAGAACCTGACTGCATGACGTACGACACCGTGTACAGGTATCACAGGCTTTGTCTCCGAGGTATAGAACCGGTGGGGTCTATGGCTGCCAGGGCGACTCCCGTGCTGGCACGAAGAAGCTCTGTGCATGGATGGAAGAGCATCTTCAGAAATGGTTTGGGTGACCCGGGTTCTTCCCAGGAAACATGGTCGCAAGCCCCACGCACACACTCACCCGCACACATGCTTCTAGCTGCTGGCAACTGTTGAGTTACGGGAAGCAATGGCCTACATGTAAAGCGGCGCAGTATGGCTTGTCCGAAAGATCCTTCGCGCTGAGCCATGCACCCGGAAAGGCCCAAGCAATATGCTGTCTGCTACTAACCATACGCTTCGCAAGCAGCAAAGAATGCCAACATAATCCGGCAGCCGTTTCATCCATCCTCTCTTGGCACCAGGAAAGAGGGGCCCGAGCGTCGCTATGTGCACCCGGCCGTATCCTTGGCTGAAAAGCTGGGCTTCACATTCGAAGGATCGGAATCAAACTCGATGGGGATGCTCAGGCCAGAGGAGTTTGTGTTGGGACGAGTTGTGGAATGTACATCTCAAGGCGGACCTCTGCAGCGACGGCCAAGCGTCTGAGCCGCATCTCCTCTTGGATATTCCTCGGCTAAGCTCTGAGCTGCAGGCTCAGGGCGTCTCAAGACCAAACAAGTCAAGCAAAGCATGGAACCACTAGAAAACCTAAGCTTCTAGGAGATGCTAAGAGGCATCAGGAGCGCTTCCTGCTCGGTGTGGCTCAACGGAGGCGGTGCGTCCGGATTCCGGGCTACGTGCTGCTTCCAGGGCTTCAGAAAAGGCAGATACACCAGGTCGTCCTGCACTCAGAAAGCTGGTGACCACGAGACCACTCTGATGATGACCATTGTTGACTAATTGCATGCAAAATTCGAGGCGGGCGAGTGGATGTACAGTCATGGGTGTGGTGTAGAAAGGGCGCGACGCTCACCCCACAGCTATACTGCTTACTGCTACGGCCCCAACACGAGCCTATTGACGGGGAGCGGGGCTGGCATCCTTAGGGAACATTAACCCCGGGATGGAATTCTTGCAAGAATCTTGCCAGTGTCGCTGCATAGTCGAGGACAATGCTTGGCCGGACGGTGTCCTCCACAACGAAATACTCCCGCAGCCATGCTTCAAGCCACAACGGAGGGTCGACATACCTTGGCTCGAGCTTGTGTGACGGTCTGACTTGATATTTCTCCCTCAAGACGCACAAACACTCCCATGCAGCAAAACAAGAGCCCACGCCCACCCGCTGGGCCACGCAGTGAAACAACTTGCTGGCGCAACAGCTGCGGGGCATGACGAGATCCGACCCTTGATTGCCAATGATTGCCTTCAGAGTAGGCCGAGGCGCCTTTCCGCTAACATGATCTCAAACTCCAAGGCCTCTCGCGTGCGAAGCTGGCAATAAGCTCGCGCTGCTCAGGCCATCCTAATCAATCTTCGGTTCCGGAAAACTCCGAGCCCTCTGGTGCCTCCTCCGAGAGCTCAAGTCTCTCCAAGGCCTCATCGTCGCCGAACAGCTGCTCCTTGTAGCTCGGAGGCTTGGTTGCTCGTATACAAACCATTTTACGCAGTGTCTGCATGGACGATCATTTACGTCATGACGAAGGGCTGACAAAGATCCGGGCAACGCAAATCGCCAATGCTTCAATTGGAAGCGGGGATGCCTCGTTGTCGGAGAACTCCAAGGTATCCTTGGGCGCAGGCAGCAGGGCTGCAGGCTCGCCGGGGGCTTTCCGCCAGTATCTTTCCCGCGCTGCCAGGCGCCACCTTGGCTCCGGGCATCTGCACCCTGGCTGTCCGAGTATGTATGTATGTATGTATGTATGTTTGTTTGTTTGTATGCATGTATGTATGTATGTACAGATGTATGTATGTGCGTATGCATGTTTGTATGTATGTGAGCTTATGTATGTAACATATATCCACAAACACACACACACACACATATATATATATATATATATATAATTGTATATACTCTCTTTCTCTATAAGTATGTTGGCACATATGCATACCTGCAAACATATCTGCATACATGTAATTATTCAATCGTTCACGGAAGGTGTCTCAGACAGCATTGACTGATGCATGACACATACATGTAAATATACATAGATATATATATATATATATGTACATCATCGTACATCCATACATACATACATGTCCAAAAAAACTGATATGCATAAACACTTGTTCGTGCACATGTGGGAATGTATATGTATACATGTATAAAGTATTTGCATATACGCATGTATATTTGTATGGGCATGGGCGCATGTGCATGTGTACATGCATGCATGCAGGCATGCATGCCAATGCACGTGTGTTTGCATGTCTGTCTGTCTGTCTGTCTGTCTGTACGTATGGGGCTGTATGTTCATGCGGAGTGAAGCCCTTGTGCCTGTTTCGGCCGGGGCACTCTTCCACCTGGGCGCTGGGCGCCAGCCCGGCCTCGTAGGATTGCTGGCGGCCCTCGGGCGTCAGCTCCACCTGCAAGGCCATGCTGCCCGCTTGCCGCAACAATCGCTGTTCAATGATTTGTCATACTCCTACGGCGTATGCCTCTCCGTCCTGGCTGGCTTGAGGGCAGCATGGGACCCCAACTGCCGGTTCTGAAGAAGTAGGCTGGGATAGGTTGGGCCCAAACTGGCCCTGGCCTCCTCGATATCTTGAAGCTCGGAGGGACGGTAAAGAAACCTTAGACATGCACATGCCGGTGGTTCAAGTGCTTCAACTGAAATTGGGGAAATAACAGGGACTGTCTTCGCAGTCGCAGGGTCTATGATAACGAAGACTTAGGCTCCCTGAGCCCAGTGGCTCCATGAGCTCCTGGAGAGGGGCCTCGCCACCCTTCTCCTTCCAAGAGGTGAACTGAGCACTGAAGCGTGGTGTGCAGAATTCAGGGTGCTCTTCAAGAGGGCTTCTGATCAGGAGGCTTTCTCTACGCCTTCAACCAGGATCAGATGGATCAAGTCCGAGGCGTCAGACGAATCCGACCCAACAGCACGGCTTACAAGAATAAGACATGCCTGATCCCCGACCCAACAGCACGGCTTACAAGAATAAGACATGCCTGATCCGACAAAAGCCGCAGACCTGGAAACTCGATATCCTCTGCCAATGGGCCACTGCATGCCGGTAAAGAAACTTGTGTCCCTACACTCCTACACCCAACCCCAAATGCTGGGAGAAGTGGGCTCCATGATGAAGGCGGCTGCACGGAGTGCCCGGTAGAGCCGGAAGTGGAATAGCCGGTAGCTGTCGACCCAAAGGTCCTCACGATGCAGAGAGCCCGGGAGTGAAGTGACCCTCAACGTCGCTTCAAAGCAACAAGCAAAAGAAAACGCGAAGTTTCTTCTATATACTATGTGTCTGCGAATGTTACACACCCGGTCCCCGTTGGGCGTCATACGGAAACCCGCATGGGGAAGCCACCGGTTCAAGGCGTGCGAGGGCTTCAAGGCCAAAGCGCGCAGCACCGCCTGAAGTGTCCGGAAAAACGGCCGATGCTCAGCCACACTTCACACAGACTGTTTAGACGGCAGAAATTACAAGGCAACTTCCTGATTCCTGTAGGCCACTGAGCATTCACGCATCGTCGGGCCTCGAATGGAAGCACCCCATCCCCGGCGCTCATGAGGAGACCCTCGATTCCTCGAACGCAGCTCGAGGTGTTTCAAGACAAAACGTGAAAGACAAGACATACGCGGGAAGTGTGTACGATTCCACACATTGGCGGAGAACTTTGTTCATGCCCATTCAGAAGGCACCTCTCAACACACCGATACAACCGTCTGACTTCTCAAAACACCGGACCAGCCATCGTTCTCCACCATCCGCATTCTCTGATGCGTGCCTGGAATATATCCAAGCTTTACCGTCCCTGCCATTGCTCGCCCTGCGTCCCAGAAGACCTAACCTCGAAGCCTGAACATCTATGACATCCATGAACCCTCTGCATCTGAGCCCGAAAACTTTACGTAAGATATACTCCGATCACAACACATCCGAGAGGCGCTGCTGGAGGCGCCTCGCCGGTTCCTCCTTCGTGGCAAAGCCAGCTTTGGTGAGCAGGTGTGCCGGTGAGCTCCTGGTTCTGCCACATTGCGAGATGCGGAGGGGCCAAACATCGCTCACTGTCGCTAGGCAGAAGGTCAGACTCCGCAAAATGGGGATGAACATGACAACTCTAGCAGACTCTCGCAATATTCAACATACCGAGGTTAACTACAACATAGTCAACTGGTGTCCAACAGGTCCTGCGCCCTGCCTTTCGGCTGACTCTCCCGGCGGCCGCCGCAGCTGCGGCCACAGCAAAGGCACCACCTTTGAGTTTCAGCTTGTCGCCCTCCGCCTTCGACAGGAAACATCGTTCTTGCAAGATCGCAACATCAAGAACAAAAGATTACTGGAATATGGTGGGATAGCTCCTATTATAGTGTCTAGCGACAGAATACGATTGAATATAGAATTCACAGCTACTGTAGCATGCCCCATTATGATAGTGGCTTATACGGCCCTGACGAAACTCCGCCCGCATCGGCCTCGAAGACATTTCCGCCCTCGAACTCAACCAACCACTGCTTCTTGCATCCATACCTCAGCAACGCGATTCCAGCAAGAGCTGCGGGCTCCTTCTGCATGTGGCATGCTGGCTGAGCGAACCACTTGCCCGTGACGTAGTGCGCATCGGCAGAGCCACCCGCGCGATGTAGAAAGCGGAAGACTTGCCTAGCCACCACCGCTTCTTGCGGTGCTTGCACAGGCATGTCCGCTCAAACCCGGGCTGCCGGGGGAAGGCTCTCTCGCTTGAGCCAAAAGCTCGGGTGCAACAGCAACATAGCGTTCTTTTGTCCGATTTCTTTCGAGCTTCGTCGAAGCAAATAGCTGATCACTGACAGGACAGGCCCCTGTTTTCAGCGGAACCCCGCTGCCTTCATGAGGTCCTCGAGCCTCAGAGCGACGAGCGGGATCGTTCCCGGCCGAGTTGCTTCTGAAGATTTTGGCCAACCATGGCAGTGAGAGACTTCACGACATACTTTCAGAGTGTGTACTGGACGGTTGGCGCGGATTATAAGCCATAGCAAGACCACACAATGGCCCTTAACACCGATACACAGTTCGGTTCACAAAGGCTCAGAAAACGTCGAAATCCCCCAGTGCTGCCGGGCGTCAGTTTTTGCACTGCTGGGTTAGCATGCCACGCCTTGGCTCCACAGGTCGGAGGTTTAACGAGGAACATGCGTGCATGCATGTGTACGTATGCATGCGACTGTCTGTACTGTGTGTGCGCGCGCGTGTGTGCATGCATGGAAGGAAGCGTAAGTAAACAAGTCAGTAAGTCAGTCGGTCAGTGAGGGATAGAGTACATGAGCAAGTAGGCAAGCAAGCAAACAAGCAAGCATGTATGTTGCTATGTACATATTTCTTATGAAGGCATAAAGGAAGCGTGTCCGCTGTGCGAGCCCTGGGTGAGGGATTCGCCGCATATCATTCCGGCTGGCCTACACTCGCGCAATGCGGCAGATAGCCAGTTCGGAAACGAGTGCCCTGGCCTGGATATTGATATAAGCCCTAACAGCTAACAGGCTCAGCTGTAAAATGAATCTGTGTTGCCATTTCATTGCGAGCTCATGGAACAAGATCGAGATGCACAGCCCTGAGTTGCACTTCCGACAACCTGCTCTCAAGCTCCTTCTCCTCCCCCACGCACGGGCTCCCTGAGGTCCTTGACCATGCCACCCAAGCGGAAGATGGTCTGGCAGCCCGCATCCTTCTGCTCCGGCTTCTCCTCAAGCTGGGTTGTCTGGCTCCCAGAGAGACCCGGAGTCCTTCCAGAGTTGAGAGCTCCTGCACCTTGGCTTCCTTCACTTGGGTGCTGGAGATGGCATCCAACTGTTTGGCGGCCTTCAGAAGCAGAAATTGCAACGACCGCGTGTCCCGCAAGCTGAATACTCCACGACAGGTCATCGAGAGATTAACAAAAACCACTCTCGGTACATACTTCACCTGCTCCTATTAGGGAGACAGGATACAGATACCAATTCTCTGTGGAGCAAACACTGAAGCGGTTGGCAATCGAGTGCTTGCTTGGAATGTTTCGGCGTCCGTAGCCCAAAGATCCTCGCCCTGCAATGCGCAAAAAGCAGTAAGGAAGGCCGAGGCCACACAGATGTTGCAGCTTGTAGCCGTCCATGGAAGCAAACAACGATGAACTACCACGTGTTGCCTCTCATTCCTCCTCGCGATCCTGCCCCTCCTCCTTCTCCCTGTGCTCCAGCCTCGTCGCCGAGCCGTTTCAGCACCTGCATGGCTTCGGCGGAGTTGGTATCGCCTCGCGGACTCAAGGCAAACCACTCTATACGCTACAAAGCGACGATCTCAGTCTCAGCCTGAGTCTAACCCCGCTGTCACACCAGCCACCCTCTCCACTCGCCCTCATACAGCCAGAAAGAAAAGAACTTCCAGCAGAAGAAGGGTGCAAGGCCCAGAATAATGCGGACGTCACAACAAGAAAGCTTCAAGCCCAAGGGACGGACGACTCCAAACACGTGCGTTTGTCTCGGCGAATCTCTATATGCCCCTGGTTTCTTCGTGTGTGCAGTCCAAAGTGGAACGATCAAACGACTTTTCGAAAGCGTCGGCGCACTCGCAGCAACCATTTTAGTGACAGAATGAAACGGCTAGCAACGCCGGATCCATCTAAACCGGAGACTCAACGAGAACAAAGAAACCCTGCAAAATAAACAGGCAGCCACTCTATGGAGGGCGAAGGCAAACTCACAAACGCACCGCTACCGTCTCGGGATCTGCAGCACTTACCTGTTCGATGTGCAATCTGAACTGAAGATGTCAGCGTCCATAGAGCGCTGCTGACAAGACGTGGGCATATAGGAGCCCCACTTACAATTCGGCAAATCCAGAAGCACAGGACCCGCCTTTGGCTTCTCCGCTCTTCAGGGCATTGAGCATGCCTTCGCAAGTTGAGCTATAGGGGTGCAAGCAAGAGAGAGTGTGCTGTTCAAATGTTTCAAGCCCATCGCAAAAAAGACTGTTGCTTATGTTGCTTCCAGAAACGAACAGGGAAGCAAAACCGGAGCTCGCACCACTCCGAAGTCCAGAACTTTCCACTGGACTTTGGAGAGTGCTCCAAAAGTCCCGCATCTCTGAAATCACCGGTGGTGCCTTGAGCCTCCTCGAGGACGTCCCAGGTTTGAACCTGGGCCGCGACCTTTTCGAGAGGTCTTTGCTGAGAGAGGCAAACATGTGTACAAATTGGAACTCCAAGGTTGTTCCTTTTTATGAAGCTCGAGGAATGTCGGAATGTTCCTGGCGACGGTGATTCCGTCTGAGATGCGAAGGTTGGGTCTAAGCGATCACTGGCAACGAGTGCCTTAGCACACTTCAGGCACCTCCGCGCCGCGAGAGCGTCGAGTCGAGCCACCGTTGCTCTTGACGCTCCGGGCCTGTACGCGATTGCAAAAAAATACTGGCAACGGTGGTGCTGGTAGTGTAGAGTATTTGCATGTCATGTGTTCATGTATCTGGTCATATTGCACGCACATGCACACACTTACATGACTAAACCCGGCCCAAACCTTTGGAATAATTACCTGCTCAACATGATACTGCTTCTCGTCAACCACAAAATAGCATTCCTAAAAACTAGCCAATAGCGGGGCAGCACGAACCGGACGGTGACATCACGATATTCACACATCATTATCGGGCTTGAGCAAAAAGTCGTCTGGGGGCCGGGTTGGAACAGTTGTCAGCGATTTCAAGCTCACATTGCATCCTTTTCATCCGGAAGCCCCTACTCCACACGAAAGTCTTGTGCCTTCAGCCCTGCACCGCCCTGCGGCACAAAGGCACCCAGAAAAAGCCAACACCTTCACTGGCCTACTTCGTGGAACCAGCCTGCTGCTGTGCTTCGATCAACTCCTCCAAGGGACCACTGTCCTTCCAAGCAACGAGGCTGCGGCGTTTCGTTGTCGTGGATTAGTTTAAGTACTCCGGGACTGCAATGACACGTGTCCCCGGAACTGATACGCTCGAAACTGCTTACATCCGGCTTGCGGTGCTATCAGTCCCACACTCCTTGCTGACCATGAGAACGACTGCACCATCCCGTCGACAGCCGAGTCCCATTCTGAATTCTAGAAGTTCCGGAGAAGGCCCCCTCATTTCTCTACCCGCAACCCTGCAAGGTCCGTGTTCAAGGCTTTCTCCACGGCTTTGAGGCATGCCTCTGCGCCTCGACAATTAACCGTTTTCAATTCGATGGGCTCGAAACGACCATGCTCACAGGAAAAGCTCAACCGATCTTGGATGAAGCACCTCGTGCCCAGCCTCCTTGTCCTATAGGCATCTTTTGGTCATTCAACTTATGAGCCGTGTTTGTGCTGGAACACAGGATGCAGCCTTAGAGTTATACCGTGGCCGGCCAATATCGGCAACATCCGCTCCACATAAATACATTGAATCTATACAGTTTATATAGGGCCTGCCCGCATGCATCCGCACGAGGACTATTTCCGAACGATCTTGTACAGTTGGCTGGAGGTGCTTCTGACGTTCGGTTAGCTAAAGCCTTTGAGGCGAATGCGAGCCTGCGATCCGAGCCAGTGGTACGGAAATCTGCGGCACCTGAACTCTATCGCTGTAACCTCTGTGAGTATATTGGAACCCCGAAAACTTTGCTGCAAATTGGAGGCTGGTCTCAGGATCGGACTCGTTTTCTGGTCCTTGGCCACCTGATGCACCAAGCGGTGGCCTCGCCCAAGGACCGGCAGGTTGTTTCATTGCCACCCGGTTTCCACCGTAGTATCTGTTTGAGTGCAAGCAAAACATGCGATGACAGTACGCATGTTGGGTACATGTACCGCGAGGGTAGTCCTCAGGTCTGCAGCCGTACTCCGAATTGATCAAAGGTTGGCGCTCCTTCCGGTGTCCCCTTGCACTCCAAAGCAATCAATCTGGCCACTTCGCCCTCGTCCTCCACTTCTGGACTGGACAAGAGGGTCAGGTGCTCGTGACATGATTCATCCCCAAGGCATTCCTTTCCTCTGTGCCGAGCTGATGGGCACCGACAGTCGGCACCGTAACGAACAACAACAGCTGTCGCAGCTTCGCGGCGGTGGCCACCCTGGTATACTACTGGCAAGGCTGTGGGGACCTGGAAGTGCAAGGGAGGAGCTTAAGCAAATGTACCCTTCCTAGGACGACATCCCCGTGGCCAGAGTCTGCCAGCAACATTGCAGCATTGATTGCGTCGAAGGGATTCAGAGAGACTTGAATAGTTACACCTTCCCAACCCTAATTCGCTTCTCCACACCACCTGCTCAGGCTTCTGGGTTCGGATGTCCGACGTCAATCAAGGCTTGCACCAAACGCAGGACTGTACTAGCTGAATACGCCGCGGCCTGCGACACGATCGGCTTGGGAGGACAGCCCGCCGGCAGCCTGAATCACGGCAGAAGCTTGGATGGCAATGTTCTCAAGTGGGTGCATTGCTTCGTGTTAAACTGCCTGCCCTTCTTTTGCACTGCCGTCCATGCTTTGGTGCATGTGGGAAAACAACGACAGTAACCTGTTCTGCTCCAAAGGGGAGCCGAAAAGAGCCGAGTGGTACAGGGTTCTCCCCTGAGGCCACCAGAGCCGCCCGACGGCGAACGGTCCAGGCAGACGAGTTGACACAGAAAAGGTGTTCGGATCTTACGGTAGTTGGCAACTTCCCCCCCCCCTCCCCCTCCCCACCATGCTTCATACACGAGCAAACACTTCAGCAGCCGGCCAGTATGAGCTAATGATCAGCTAGGATCAACGGACGCTGAAATCGCCATGTTTCGCCAGGCTTGGTTTGAGACAATCGAAGTCGAGCCCGGTCAATACTCAAGTACTGCACCTTACCATCGGGGCAGTTTGTCTTGAGGTAGAATGGTGTGATGTCCGTGGTCTCTTCCATGTTTTCCCACTTGCCAAACTTGCTCGTTCCATCTCGTTCCGCCATAAGTTTGCCAGGAACGTTAGTTAGAGTCTCGTTCAACGGCTGGCTGTCGGTGGCGATCACTGCGACTGACGATGCTGTTGGGGCGGTATTTTCCGTGCCCCTTACAACCCAAGGCTTCGAATTTCAGCAGAAAGCGCCTCTGCTCCGGTTAGCTACGTCGCGAATCGACCCTTTCGGCTGTGACACCAATTCAGAGGCATCTCGAGCAAGCAGAAATCGTCCACATATCAAGTGAACACGTGCTTCTGGCAGGGTGGAGGCCCCTTGTTGAGGCAAGCCTTGACTTGAGCCACCAAAGTCATCACCCTTCACTTCAGAATCAGAAGCAAATCGCTGGCACGGAGAGTAAGACTTTTTTTAGTGGCATTCTGAGCATGTCTGGGCATCTGGCCTCCACTTCCTGTTTGGCCTCCTCCAGAGGTGCTCGGCCGCTTTCGTACCTTAGAGACATGTCCGGTTCGAGGTGCGAAGGGGGTCTTCGGGAGGCAAACAAAACATGAACTGACCGGTGGCTCAGTTGGACACGCAGGCACGATTGTTTAGGGTTCTATAGCGTTTAGGGTTTTGGGGGTAATTAATAGGGGGTTCCTTTAAGGGCTCCTTTAAGGATACGGGTTTCTCTCTCAATTATCTACACCGCGAAAGTGCGGCTTATCCTTCGACTCCTGAGCATGGCTCTCATATAGCTCCCACCTGTGGGTACACCTGAGGCAGGACCGGCTGTGTCGGACCCCGGTCTTTCCCCGACTGGACAAATAATGGCTTCATGAGCTCGGGTGCAGAAAGCCCCAAGATGCATTCGGCGACTTCTCCGAAGCTTGCTGTACACTTGCGGGCTGCTTGCCGCGTTGACGCCTTTACATGGTGACACTCGGGAGCCCGGCCTACGTGCCACGGGGTGTGTGAATTAATGGCCACGCGCGGAAGAGCTCGGGACATCGGGACCAACAAGTCGCCCTAAAGCAAAAGCTCTTTTTGGAAATACTCCAGGGACTGTCGGGGCGCCCTCTTCCATGGCCACCTGACATCGGACCGCCTGCACAGAAAGGGTGATAAGTAAACGGACCTGGGAGATCCGCAAGAACGGGGCTAATCCTTCCGTCATCCCGAAGACCATCAGTGAGGAGCCTCATCGATGGCCAAGTCCTGGCGGAACAGCACAGCCCTGTGCCAGGTTTGTCTGCGACAAAAACCCCCCACTCTCCATGAAGGCTAGCCAAAAGAAGACTTCTCAGGTCGCAAAACTCTTGGATGCTTCTCGGCCGACCTTCAACCAGTAATCAGTAAACCATACAGACCTGAATCCCGAACACGAAGAATCTAAAAAGCTGCCTTGCACGCAGGCTGGCTGAGGATCGTTCGCCTTGCACGGGTTCCTGAGCTCGAAGCTCATCGCTTTTAACAACAGGGCCCCCCAAACTATATGTTTGCTGCGATATCGAAAAAGCCTCGTGCTACCTGGTCATCAGCACCTGTCGCCCCTACCTACGCTGAAGCTACGCAAAGATGTGTAGGACTTGATTGCCGAAGCTTGAAGGAGCCAAGCCCGTCATGAGATCACGAGCAATCGTAAACATGGGCCTGAGCCACGAAAGCTCCCAACTCTTTGACACTGAATCTGCCAAAGCACCCCTAAGTGGAAGAGGCACGAACTTGAAATGCTTCAGGAGATGGACCGATCAGCCCCCTGCTGAGAAGCTAAGCAAAAGCCGAGCAACAGTCCCAAGTAGGAGCAATGGTCGCAGGTGTGGAAAAGACACCGAAACAGCGAGTACTGACCGCTGCAGCTCTCTTCGCCTGGTCAAGCTTAAAAGATTTTAAAAGGCTCCATGGCCACCAGGCCCAGAACATCTGACTGCTTAGAGCTGGCGTGCTGCCCACGTCTCGCATCCGGAACCGGGACGGACAAAGGAATATGGAGGAGATTGGAGGAGTTGTGCATGATGGTCGCGAGGTAGCT